TTGTTTTTATTCACAAGCTTATTAATAATAATGTTAATTAATTCATGCTTAATAAAAGTGCTTCGTACTTAGGGATCTATTTTATTTTTAGAATGGTATTACAAAAATGAAATTCAGGCATAGATAATATTTTTAATTGAATTTATTCAGTTCCCATTTGCTCATAGATCCTTAATTTTTTCATTAATGGTCCTTAATTTCCGTGTGCAAAAACGTGTACAAACCCTGGTTATTAATTGTGGTGTATTATTTTAATTTGAATTCATTTGGCTCTGTAAATTTTATATCAGTTTTCAGGGCAAAAAAAATATGTGCAACCAGTTGGTTTTGCTCGCGTTCTTTAAGAATTATCTGATGAAGACGAGGAAACCTTTGGATGGGAGAACAATAGCGATTTCATTCTTTTATTTATATTTTTTAGAAATAAAAAAAACATTAAAAGTTAATTTAAAGTTCGTTTTTGTAACCAGTAAGAAGTAAATTTCCTTGCAGAAGTAAGTAATGCTAAATTTACTTTTTTTCTTACCAAGGTGTTTTCCTTTTTTATTGTTCTACACTTGTCTTTGGTGAATATTAAAATTAGCTTCGATTTTAAAATATAATTATTAAATAATAAATTTAAAATTTTCTATTATGAAATTTTTGCATTTCCATCTCACTAACATAAAATAATCATTGCATTTCCATCTCACTAACATAAGAGCTTAAAAATAATTTACTTATATTTGGATGTGATATCGTTTGTATTTTCCAATAATAAGATAAATATTTTATTTCTTAACAAATTTATAGTGGATGGACAAAAATATGGAAACACCTTGTGAAATGCATGTTTGAAAAGAAAGATTAATTTTAATGAAATATGTAGGTGGCGCTGGCATTTTTGACTACTGACGCCACCTATACAACTTCGTAAATGTGCTAAACAGTTCAGTTGTTGTTGGAGTTGTGAGGTTGTCATTGCATTATGTCAGAGTTAACAGACTTCGAAAGTGGGCAAATTGTTGGAGCACGTATGGTAGGTGCTTCCATAATCCAGGTAGCCGAGGTGTTTAGTGTTTCAAGAGGTACTGTATCGAAGATTTATTCCACATATTTGAAAAGCGGAAAAACATCATCTGCTAAATCACAGCGCGGACGAAAGTGTGTCCTGAGTGATCGTGACAGACGATCATTAAGGGAAAATTGTGACGAAAAATAAGAAGACCACAGCTGCAAAAGTTACTGCTGAAATGAATGTTGTGTTTAACCGAACCCTGTGAGTACCAAAACAATTAGAAGGGAGCTTCATAAACAGGGAATTGCTGGCCGTGCTGCAATTGAGAAGCCACTCATCAGTGATGCTAATGCCTGTAACAGGAAAAGGTGGTGTTTGTTTAAGTCATAAAAGCCTGGACTATAGAGCAGTGGAAGCGAGTAATATGGTCTGACGAGTCTTCTTTCACATTGTTTCCCACTTCTGGCCAAGTTTACGTCTGGAGAACGCCATCTCAAGCCTATAATACAGACTGCTTGTTGCCAAGAGTGAAACATGGCGGGGGTTCTGTTATGGTTTGGGCAGCCATATCGTGGTTCTCTGCTAGCCCCATGATAACTGTGTCAGGGCAAATGACTGCCAAGACTTATGTGAACATTTTGGTTGATCAAGTTCATCCCATGGTACAAACTTTGTTCCCCGATGGTGATGGTGTCTTCCAAGACGACAAAGCCCCTGTTCACACAGCTCACATTGTCCAGGACTGGTTTTCTGAGCACGAGGATGAGTTGACCCATCTCCTCTGGCCACCACAGTCACCAGACCTGAATATTATCGAATCTTTGTGGTCTACATTGGAACAGAAAGTGCATTCTCGTTATCCACCGCCAACATCGTTATCTGAACTTGCCACCGTTTTGCAGGAAGAATGGTATAATATTCTGTTGGCAAACATACAGGAACTGTATTTATACATTACGAGAAGACTGCAAGCTGTTTGGGATGCCAACGGGTTTCCTACACCATATTAAGCAAAGAAATATGTTTTTTTAAAGGTGTTTCCATATTTTTGTCCAATCCCTGTATTATCAATATTCATTAATTTCTGTCGTTTTTCGTGCCAAAAACAGTAAAATAACTGATGTCATAAAAAATACGACACGTGCTCATGTAAAATTGCCAAGCGCATGCTGGGAGGTTAAGGATAGTTTGATTCTCTACCATTCTATCTGACTGGGGGTGTAAAGGTTCGTTTGGGTTTTGCCGATGCTGAGTAGCTTGCATAGTGGTTTAATTACAGCCAATGTGAAATTTCTTCCTTGATCGGAATACAACTGAAGAGGCACTTCAAACCTGGAAATTAAATGCTGTACCATTAACTCTGCTACAATGACAATTTCTTGATCAGGAATAGGATACACTTCAGGTGACTTGGTAATGTAATCAGTGACAACGAGGATGTATTTGTTGCCATCCCAGTTCATAGCAGAGGTCGCATGATGTCAAAAACAATAAGTTCAAGAGGCACTCCTATATTGCAACATTGCAGTTTCCCTCTGCGTTTCTTTTCAACCCACACAGGCATTGCAAATAGGCACCACTTTTACATTTCAGCCCTTGTATTACTCCAGTAGAAGCATTCTCGAACTTAATGCAAAATCTTCATTATTCCGAATTCGTTTTCTGTTGGACTGCTGTGTAATTCTTTAAGGATGTCTGGTATCATGGAAGTATCAGCTGCCATCAGAATCCCTTCAAAATCAACTATGGAGTGAACCTCCAGGAGCCTGATATTGTTTGTCGTAGGACTATAGATTGAAATGTCCTTCCAAGTAAATTTCTTGTTCGGAGACTCCATTAGTTCAGTCGTCTTCCAATTGGTCTTTCCTGACTCCATTGTCACTCTATAGGTCTCGATCAGCTGAAGTTGTAGCTTATCGTCCAACTGCGGTAAGTGGCTCATATTTCACTTCGACACTGGAATAATATTAGCAGCTTTTTGGGCAGGATCTTCTAACAGACCGTCAGTGTTCCAAGCAATGATAACTTCTGATGACGGTTTGTGATGTCATATTCCTTAAGTCTCTGTATCTGCCTAGCTATGTGGCCTTTGATATTCTTGACGTTTAAAAGCCAGATCAAAGATGTATGATCTGTGCAGAGCAAAAATTTTCTGCCATAGTGTTAATGATGGTAATGTTCTACGGCTTTAACTATGTCAAGCATCTCTCCCGGTGACACAGTAATTTCTCTCCATTTTGGATACTTACTCCAGTAGGCCCTGGCATGTTCTTGACCATTTATTTCTTGGGACAAAACATCACCCTCACTCTCATTGCTAGCATCGGTGTCAAGAATAAATGGTTTGTCAAGCTAAGGATATGTCAAGATTGGAGCAGATGTTAAAGCTTCCTTCAGATTGTATAATGCATCCTCGCATTCTTTTGACCACAAGTACTTGTGCTTGCTCTCTGTCAGCTTATGAAGAGGTCTTGTGATGGAAGAGAAGTCCTTCACACATCTCTTATAGCAGGTGCAAAGCTCCAGGAAACTTCTCAGCTGATGCGCATTTTCAGCCGAACTTCATCTCAAGAATGTGTTATTGAGTGTGTGATGGGATGTGCAGAGAATAATTCAATAGGAGATCCTGCTATTCAACCAAACCATCACTGCTGCCTTCTGCTTTCTACAGTTAGACAGGCTGCATTCAAATTTGGTTAAAGCAGCCAGGTCTCATCAGTCGTCGCGGTGTTATCCTTCATCATGATAATGCCAGACCACATACTGCTATCATCACTCGCCAAAAGTTACTCGGCTTCGGTTGGAAGGTTTTCTACATCCTCCCTATTCTCCTAACTTGACACCAACTGACTATCACTTATTTCATGCGTTGAACGATTCCTTCAGTCAGAAAATCTTCGTGATCTTTATGATGTGAAAATTGCCATCCAAGACTTTGTTTGACTCGAAACCGCCAGAATTTTACCGCCATGGGATTCATCTCCTACCAGAAAGATTGCAAGAGGTCATAGATAACAATGGAGATTATGCACAATAATAGGTACTGTTCATTTTGCATTTATTTGCTCTTCCGTATGGGTAATGAAAGCAGGTAGAACTTTTGCACTTACCCAATAATATGGGGAATCCTCATCGTTGTTGCCACCAGTGTTACCAAAGGAATGCGATTCAAAAATGACTTCAAATATATGTATTTGCGTATATGCAGTTGAATATATATTTTTACTAAGTTTTTGAAATCCGTTAATTTTTAAACCGTGTAAATCAAAGGATAGGTGTATTTGTTAGATCAGCACTCAAATGGCTCAAAAATAACAAGTTGGCTATTTGTTTAAGCATATTCTAATTGATTTAATATATGTAAATTCTTTTAGTTTTTATAAATTTTTCAAAATTGCATAATAGTTAAAAATAATTATTTTAAAGTTTGTGAAGATTATATTAATTTATTTAACAATTAAACTTTGAGTTAAACTTCCTTTCCTATCATTTCTGAATTTCATCTTACTACTTCTGGTCAGAACGTAGTTTTAGAATCATGTTTGAATGAGAAAGAGTAGTATTTAACCGCAAAGTACTGTCTTAGTCAGAGAGAACCAGATTCTGGCTGGCACACGTCCACCATTTTAGGCTACTCTCTCTTAAACTATTATTACGCTCGACCATACTTTAGGCGCTTGATAGCTTTACAATTAATCAGCTTTAAGGGGCCAACTCTGTTAGACTTTTGATAGCTTCGGCTATATCTTTTAAGTTAAGATTAGTTTAGTTCTTAGTCTCGTAAGTTGAAGCCAGAGTGTTGGCTTTATTGTACAACTACAAGACAGAGTTCTGTTACACCTTATTGCAATAATAAAGGATTATTTCACCCTTCTTACTTGTTGTTTCCTATCCCATGAATTCAAGTGATTATTCGCTTACTAGTTCTTAAGATTCTTCACATTCAACTGTAACTTAAAAGTACACAGTACAGAATCTTATAATGCATATTTTCACTTTTTAGTAATTTCAGTCACAGAAGCTGCAGTCAAACCTGGTCAAAGTACACAAGAATTTGGAGGTCAGTGATATTCTTAATTCCAAAATATCGATTATTTTTATTGTATGCATTCATCTCATTACTTTTTATGATTTTTAATGTAACCTATTACTGTCTGTCTTTTGATGAAATATGTGTGATAGAAATATTGTATATATTTTTATGTGTTTAATATTTCATTACTGTAGAAGGAATGCTAAAGGAATTTCAGAGTACACAAGCATCTCAAGGAACTGCTGCTTCGACATCCATTGAACCTGGTAGGATAATTTATTATCTTGTCTTCTTTGTATATTTAGAATCCAGCAAATAATGTGAGGAAACTAGTGCTTATTCAAGGTTAGAGTGCAATCTCTATTTTTCTCTCCATTACATAATCACATAGCTTTTCATCAGATAACTTTTCAAATATAAAAATAAATTAACATTATATATGTTAAAATACTTATTGAAAAAAAAAAAAAAAATCATTGTCGTTAGATTGATGTGAACTCTTGACAGAGTTCTGGTGGGGAGTGTTTGGAAATTATTTTGATTAATTGATAGATGGCGCTAGCATCGCGTGTTGAACGCGGCATGTCTTCTGAATTTCCATAGACTCTCCACCGGCAGCTTGATAGATGTATGTTTAAATGCTTCGCACACTTTAGGAACACTTCGGTTCCTATTTAAAAGATTTCGATTTTCGATTATGAAAGCGTATAGATTTGCTTGTCAACTGAACCACCATGTTTTGATTGATGATCTGTAAATATTGTACATTTTAAAAGTGATTGATGTTGATTTATAGCAATCTTAGAATATTTTGAAATTATAACTGTCCATTCAACTGTATTATGTTTATCTTGTGTCTTACAGTTAATGGTGTTTAGGAGTAATGCTATAGGTGTAATTGCTATTCATCTCATATATATGTGGAACTTTCACCATATTTTACTACACAGTCCTGTTTTACAATTTGTTGTGTTGTCTGCTTAAACTCTGCAAGAGACAGCCAGCCACAGTGGCATTATGACAATTGAAACTCTATATTGAAAAAACCATGTTCCTGTTCAACCAGTTTGTATATCTAAAACATTATTTAGAGAAAAATAATAGAAACCCAAACTGTATAGCATCTTGATTGAATCATCAGGAAATTAAGTATGAAAGAGAAATGGCTGATGTTTCTTGCAGATACAAAGTATATTTATCAGAAGCCATGTCCTATAAAGCTTTGTGTATACATATTTGCCATTCCAGCTCAGAATGCAGATGTAAGGAGAATGTTTTCCTTAATACCAACTCACTGGTCAGACAAAAGAAGCAAGCTGTCAGTGGATATAACTGATGCAATTTTGATTTGTAGTTATAATTTTAAAATAACTCATGCCCAGTTTTATAGTCATGTGAAAAGTGCATAGTTTCAATTAGGTAAAATCATCTTAAAGTATGATTGTGCTAAAAAGGATTAACCTTGCATCTTTTTATATTATTATAATTGTTCATTTTATTAGATTACTTAAGGTTTATTAATTTTTAAATCTGAGTAAAATAAACCACTACCTAGCAATTTTCTTTTAGCCCCAAAGGGTGTTAGGCAAAAGAACTATTAGTGTTGAAATGGAATTTTGTTTTGCCCACTATAAATGGTAAATAACTTTTCAAATTGTTGCCCCCAAGTATTATCACCCTATATTAATTTAAAGAAATTAAATAATGCGGAATCTGTTGTTGTTGTGACTTATCTCACTTGCCTGACAGTACCAATAAAGATATAAAATAATGTAGTATAAGCATTAGTGAGACATCAGTGAGTGTATTTTTGAAGTTTTCATATTTTAGGTTTAGTTGTTAATAGTGGTAGGCAAAATGTCTGGTTCTGCATTTAAACAATTAAAAAAAAACTGTTTAAAATACTTCACAGAAATATGTCTAATTTTCTTTCTCAGAGAAGAATTTGAATTCATCTAATAAAGACAGTCAAAATTACGACAGACTTTGGCTTTGAAACTTGATTTTTAATTTGATGTGAGATTATCAAATCTATCAGGACCTTATATTCTATTCAGTTTAAGTGGTTTTTTTTTTTTTTTTTTTTTTTTTTTTTTTTTTTTTTTTTTTTTTTTTGTTGTGTGTGTGTGTGTGTTTAACACAACTCAGATTCTATTTTATGTCATGAAGCACTTTCTCTTGATCTGTTAGAAAGTAGTGTTTAAATAAATCTTTCAAAGCTTCATCTGAATAATTTTCTGTATTTGTTCTTGAATCTTGATATTATTTTTACTTGAGAAGATTTTTGGAAAAAATAAAAAATCAGTATTCCCATTCCATAGCACACCAATATGTAAGTTCCTAGTTGAAAGACAACATTTTGTCTGCATCAAAAGCTGTAACATTTTCCCTTGCAATGAGAGATTCTTTTTGTTTATTTTCCTAAAGCTGTTGGCAAGGTATGCCAGTTTACACATACAGTTCTTCATCATTTAAAACTATCAGCAATCATTATGGTCCATCAAAACTGCTGTTTCATCTGCTCAGTTCCATCAAATTTGCCAGTAGTTTCTCCTGGAATCAATAATGTAAAATTTTTCTACAAAACTGTACTGTCTTAGTTTGAGATTCAAATGTATGAGTGAAGACACTTCATTAATTAATATTTACTAATTACACAACTAAGCCTCACAAACAGGTCAAACACATAGAAAAATCGCAGTGTTATCGCTATTGTAAATTCATTGGGAAGTGACTCTTAATTCACTAGCTATCATCAATTTATATGGGCTAAATTTCAAACAGATTCCAGGAATTCTCAAAGGGTTGAGAATAAGAGAGAAATTTCTCTAATATGCATTTCCAGGAAATCATATGAACATTCAGTTCCAGGAAAAGGCCATTAAAAACATGGCAAATGAGAGATCAGCATCCCACTCAGCCTCTCATCGGTCTTACATAAATTACAATTTGAAGTTAGTACCTTTAGAATGATTAAGTGGTCTGTTACTCTTTTATTTCACTCAATTTTTATTTATTTTATTTTTCTGAAGCAGCCATGGAGTCCCTGGGAAGTGCACATTGAACACAGTTTGGGAACCACTTATTTATATGATATAAATTACTTTTTTCCTTGCGTTCCCTTTAACATGTGTACATATAATGCAGAAAATGTCAGAATTTGTGTTAGGACACTTTTTACTAGGACTTTTTTTAACACTTTTTTTAAACCACTTTTTAATCTGTTATAACATCTGGTGACTTCAGCCTCGATACAAGTCATTATTCTTAACTATCAGGAAAAATTATCATAGAAGAGATGCTTAAAGTAATTTTATTTAGTGAACTGTGATGAGGATTTGAATATTGCTATGCAAGTAGCTACTATAGGTCAGTATATTAGAAACCATTTCCGAATAGCAAAAAGATTTGATGGAAGAATTTTTAATTTTCATGCAAAAAAAGTTTGGCTGATATTAAAAATTAAAATTACTATTAAAAATTAAAATTATTATGAAAAATTAAAATTACTGATTCTCCACATCTTTATTATGAGGCAAATCAGCAGCTGAAAACTGCATCACTCTGGCTTCACTTTCTGGCTGTTGAATGCCTGCCTGAGGTCTTCATAGATTTATTTGCATATATGAATGTAGGACAGTTTTCCTTGGAAAGGGAGACTAAAGCACACTAGACTGATGGCGCAAATATGTGATATGGCAGATGACATTAGGTTGATAGCCAATATGATTTGTTATAATTCATAATATGTTCCATTCAATTATAATAATGTATAAAAATGAAAATTCATCTGAATGTCTGTTATTAAATTAAGCAAACACTAGTTGGTGGCTCAAAATATTTTACACAGCTGTGTAAAGACTAATTTGAACACAGGCCATCAAGCATGTAGCATTTCAGTTCAAACAGATGCTAAGAAATCTGCATAAACATTGCTATTAGAAATACCCATAAATTTTTAATGATGACAATAAATTATACATGTTCTGGAAAGCATTTTTTGCAACAAATGGCATATGCTCTGAAGCACATCATGTGAAGTCATTAACTTTATTCTTTTAAGATCAAAACAACTTGAGCAGTAAAAATAAAGCAAATTTAATGAAAATATTATTCAGGCAAGAAAATAAAAAATTTTCACTGTAAATGATTATGGTAGTTAAAACTTGAGTTTGAAGAAACTCTGGCAGAATAATTAAATAGATTGTTAAAGTGGTTATTTAACAATGTAAAAGTTTTAAAGAATTCTAAGAGAAAATTTTGATTTTATTTTTGCTAATTTGCTTTTGCTGGCACTACCATGGTTACTTAGGCAAAGCCAGGTAAAATAACAACTATACATTTCCATATATAAGCCATGAATTTTTAGAAAATTTTTTATTACTTAAGTTTGAGGATTGACTTAACATGTGAATTTCAGATGGCTTACAAATAATTCCATCACAAAAATCGGCCATCGGAAAAAGTATTAATAACTGAAATTAATTTTAAAATACTATATTTATTTAATTTATTCCTTATATGTATTAATCAAACTTCTTAATATAAATAGCTGAGACACAATAACATGCCGAACAAATAATAATTCAGAAGTCAAACAACAAAAATCAGCATTATATTTTCAAATTGTCACAGGACTTGTTTCGAGGATTTTACCCGACGGTTATCGATGGAAAGATGGATGGGTTAATTCCAATCCATCTCTGCCTTCGGCCTTTAAAGAAATTATGTTTTAGTTCTGGTTTTATCAACAGATGGTGCCACTAGCTTATCTTCTGTCCAGGCTTTCTTATCTTATCTAATCATTATATCCTATCTCGTTCATTTGCACTTTTGCAGCTGAGGATTGTGGTTTGGTAAAACCATCGAAACTAGTCCTGTGATAATTTGAAAATATAACACTGATTTTTGTTGTTTGACTTCTGAATTAGTATTGATAGCTGAGTTAAAATTTTCTAGCAATTTTTGAAGTTCTCTCTCATTGTTACAGACAACTCTGTGTCAGCATCATCATCATCGTCCATTTCATCATGAACATTGTCACCATAAATATAATTTTCAGTTCATCTGATAGCATTACTAGTGCAACTTTTTTGAATGACTGGATGATTCTTTCTGTCTTACTTTTGAATAGATGAGGACATAACACTCAACTCCAGCTCATTTGATAAGTTATAACCAGTTACATGAATTTTTAATGATGTAGAGTCGGATTTATAAGTTTTAATTCACCTGATATGTGGGTTTTCAGTTCTTGCCATATTTTTGCAGCTAAATATTACCTTATATGTAATGATAGCTTCTTATACATGTAATGAAAGCACACTTTTGGAAGTACTGATATTAGGAACACTACAATGTAGAAGATGTAGATGCACTTAGAAATGCTGATTGTGAAGATACTTGATGCTTAGAGTGTCCATCCATTTTAAAGAAGAAACAGTCGAGCCGCATTAAATTCCATTATTTATTTAAATTCACTCGTGGCCACAATCACTTGGCACTCTACTCTGCCAAAATGATCATTTGGCTGATTAAAGAACATTTACAATTTTGGTACTATGGTGATATAAGCATTATTGCAGCAGTGTCTGGATAGCATGAAAGTGTAAGCAAGAAGATAAAGAATATCGCAGCAATAGTGCAGAGGAAGAACGGAGAGAGTCAAAATTAATTTCTAAGTTTTGGTTTACAATTTGGTGATTGGTCAGGAGGCATCTGCATTAAGTGTTGCGTAAAATCACATGATTAATTTGAATGATGCAATTTAGATTTATAGCACTATTTCTAAGACATCCATGAATTGGCATATATTTAGAAATACATAGTAGTTTATAAATTTTATACAGTAATACCTATAGTCAAGGAATATTTATAAAACTATATTTTCTTATTGAATGCTATAAAAATTCAAACCTTGTATTGCAAATTTACTTTGCAAGTATTAAGCTTAAAGCAACAATTTTTTTTATTTAGGTCCGTCATGTAACAAGACACCCCTGGAAATGCGGTTTTTTGTGAATGATCCATGTAAGTATTTTCTGTTGATATGAAATTTAATTTCATATATTTCATGTAATGAAATGTAATTTGTAAAATTTATTTTTTTTCATAAAATTAAAATTTTTATTAATAAAATTTAAGAATTTGTGCTTAAAAAATGCAGATCAAATTTTAAAAGACTCGTTTCTATTGATATTTATAAGCGTCATTCTGAATCCAAATTATTAAAAAAAAACTGAATTTTGTATATAAATATTGTTGTTACTTATGCTCACTTGTCTGACTAACATCAGCCCAAGCCCACGAAATTCCTCGTGGTAAATAGTGTGCAAGAGACGCATGCCATTGGCAGCAGCCTTGATCACCATGCAGGTGACAGTGCGATTTAGCTCTGTTCCGCCCCGAATTTTGATGGAGAGCACCTCTAGGGAATGGGTCTGAGGGTCCCCCCCTTCCACCACACCACACAAGAGGACTTTTGGCTTGCTACATTTACAAACAGTCATGTCTTCTATGGGATTCGATGCTAACCACTGTACCGGTTGTGCAATCTATGTAAATGCACAGCTTTACTTAATGACGGCAAAGGGGACTTCATGCCGTGCTGGACAAAATACTGACTAATTAAGATTACCTGCCACTTTGCTGGTCAAATACTGGACAAAGATTGGGCAGCTGTTCTTAATGAAATGAAGGTACTTTGTAGGGTTTTAATTGTGTTGAAGTTTAAATGACTGACCTTCAGACACTATTAGACTGACAAATGAATTATTACTCCAGTCTGAATTAAGATGACAAAGTCTTATGAAGGTATCTTTTTCGTGAATCGGCAGAAGACGCCACTTTGTTTTCTTGTGGGTGTTAAAAATAAGATAAGTTGAAAATCACAGTCGAGTAACCTTCAAGAAGACTTCTGGAAAATTAGTCTACTTAATCTGGCTCAAATATTTTAAATAGCTTGGTTTTAACATCAGATAGAAATATGGCTAAAGCTGGAATAATCTCTGGCAGAACTGGATATAGGATGTAATTGCAGGTAAAGCTACCAAAAGAAACGTTCAAAACCCTTGACTTAAATCCTCTGACAACTAATTTACATTCTGGTAAGGACTGCAGAAAAGAAATTACAGTAAAAGTTTAAATCATAATAATTAGTTAGTTAACATGAAATCCTAACATTTTTCCACACCAGAATTTAAACTGATCAAAAATGAAAGTTTTATTGACCTTGGATAAGATTTTAATATTCTGAAATCTTTCCGAACCAATCTTGCAAAATCTCATTCAAGTTAAATTTAATTCTTATGCCTAAATGTGCATTTTCCATTATATTTAAACTGCATTTTGATTTACATTTTCAAATTCATCGCAGACTTTGTCTTCCATCGCCTTCCAACATTCTGGAAAAAAAATAGTTTTGCAAAGAATTTAAGATACACAATATGTACATACAAGAATAAATTTTACAATTCAAATCTTTTTCACTCTGCTGTCCTCCTCAGGGGCTGTTTTTTGTGAGGAGGTTGTGGCAATCCCAAAGTACCCTAGCTCATCAGGGGATCATCATCTTGGTGAAAAAGGTGTTACAATCCTAGAACCCTAGTGATCTAGCCCTTTTCCTTTTCTCCTCCTCTTATTTCCTTCTGTCTCCTATTTCTCTCCCTTGTGGTTTTCCTCATTTAGAGGTTAGCGCTCATTATGGGAGGCTGCTACAGCTCTTGCTTCTAGCTTCAGGTGGAAAGAAAACTGCACACGTGTTTGTCATGCATGGAGACCGATGTCACTGGAAAGGAGGGTCCTGATAGTTGAGGGGTGAGGTACTGTCCCCAACACACTGCTTTGGCCTATTGCTTCAGCTAAACAAGAAGCACTTTGTCGTTCTCACAAGTGTCAATCAGCTGGTCACTAGTCCTTGTGTCAGTGACTTGGGAATAAGCTCTTGGAAGTACTTGCTTTTGGGAAAGCCGACTATGGAGCTTCAGTATGTGTATAGGTTTGGCTAGACCTAACGCAGGGATCTGTGTTCCCGTGTTGGGTTTTTCATGGTGGGTGGGGCGGACAAGCCAAAATCTTGGTGTGCATTCATTCTGTCAAATGTCAAATCAAAATGTCTTCTTTCATAATGAATAAGTACATTCATTCCTGTATTGGTGAGCCAAAAAATATGAAGCATTTCTGTTCTAAAGACTTGCCTATTAAGTCTTCAGCCATATAGGCTGCTTCCTTGCATCGAATAACCAGCCTTTGGCAAGCCACTGTCAATGTAACAGCACATAAAATACTGAAATATTGTCAAGGTGTAATCTCAGAAGTCGACCTTCTGTTTTTTTATGAAGAAGAGATTATAATCCGAGCTTTTTGATAAAAGTGTCTGTGGTGTTATGTGGATTAAAATCCGTAAGGAAGGTCAGTTAATGTGAAACACATAGTTCTGACCTTCAAGTTGCCTGATCTGTCTAAGAATGTTAAATCTGGATACCTAAATTGTCCTATAAGACCTTATATTTCAAACCCTATGCAATGCTTCATTTTGGCCATTCTAAGATGTTCTGTCGTGGCAGCCTCACATGCACTTGATCATCAAAGATCAGCCATGATTGTGAAAATCGTACTGCTGCGCCTTTGTGTATAAATTACACCCAGCATTTTCTCATTCATTCCCAAAATGGAAATCAGAAAAGGAAGTGCAATCTGCAAAAGTTACTAGGAACATCACATATGCTGAAGCCAGAAGGTTAGTCCAATGCACACAGCTTTGACCATATGCCAGCGCTGTTACATCAAATCATACAATTGCCATTCAAACTTCAATGAGTTCTACCAACTGCCAACTGCACCAACTAAAAGCCAGCAGATCATAAGCAGTAAGAAAAAAGAATATCCAACTCTTGTGATGCCGAAAAAAATGAAATTGTGCTTCAAAGCAAAAAAAAAAAAAAAAATCATCTCTCCAAAAATATTTAACGAAAATGGAAGCTCTTGTGAAGACATGTTGTCTGAATCTTTAGATTCATATAGTATAGAAGTAGAGGAGGGTCTATAAGTGCCCAAATATATGCTTCCGTGGAAAACTAAGAAACAGAACAAACATCAATAATAATGTACCTTGGAATTCTTGTGCCTTCCACCAAAATCTTGTTAACGTCAAACATTTGATTGATGTATATCAACCAGTGTGCTTAGCTATTCAAGAAACTATGCTAAAACCAGAACAAGTAACAAAACTTCAGAGATATTCTTTCGCTAGGAAAGATAATCTGTGAGATAAGCTGTCAATGGAGATGTAAGTTTCCTCATCTGACTTGATTGCCCTTCCAGTCTGATTTCTTTAACCACAAACCTCCAAGCTGTTGCTATTCAAATAAATATGCTGAGTTTGTTCCTTTATTTGAATCCAAATCACCGCATCGATCAGCAAGATTTAGATGAACTAATATAGCAGCTGCATGAAACCTTTATCATAATAGGGGACTTTATGGTCATAGCCCATTCTGGGAAAGTAAGGATACAAATCCCCAAGGCAGACAAACAGCAAATAATTGAAGATCACGGCCTTTGTCTCCTCAATAGTGAACAAAATAACTACTTCCGTGAGCCTACATTCATATGCTACTCATAATAAGAGACCATACTGACAGAAAATGATTGCATGATGCCTGTTCTTTATTTAGCACTGAATTGACTGCTCTGTATTCTGCTTTAGCATTCATCTCTAAGCAATTCCAGAAGAAATTTGTAATTTACCCTGACTCAGTAAGTGCTATAAAAGTCTTTGTTAGTTTTTCTGACACCTGGAATCCTTTACTAATGGACATAACTAAAAAAAAAAGCTTAATATTTATTTGTTTACTTTATTAAACATTTCTTTTAATGTAAGTTGTTTAAGTTGCTTTGTTTTATGTGATAATACTTTCTCTTTACTTCTATAAACAGACATAATTTCTTGTTCATTTACAAAGTTCTGCTGTTCAAGTCCTATAATTGCTGTGTCGAGAATACCGATTAATTTGTCAATCGAAATTTTTTCGTTTTCAATAACCTCTGTCACTTTCTTCTCTATTGGAAGCGAATTATAATGACGAGAAATTTGATTTAAATCGTATCAAAGACGGAGTACATCGAGATGAAATACTACATTTAGTAAGGAATTATAAGCCATATAAAATAAAAACATCTGCCCTGAAGATAAGGATAGTGCTGACAGATCAACTTCCAATTCATTGCGAGCCGCAGCGTCCCCGCCGCCGAGCATCGTGAAATTGATAAACAGATTTCGGAATGGTTAGAGAAACAAAGCTTTAGCTTTGTAAATCCTTTACATATTAGTAAATATATATCGAAAATTCTATTTGCCATAATCGAAAGTTCAAGCTTACTTTTATAACATTGCTCTAACAGTCTGCAAAAAATCATAAGCCGGATCCAATTCGAAGATTAAGGAACAACGCAATCTGCAACATTAACTGAATTAGATAATTTTAGCTTAGCTTATACTGTCCGTTATACATTAAACGCGCATGCGTCAACGTATTATGTGCATGCGCACACGCATATTCGCAGACATAAAGGTCTTACGTCACCGCGATGCATGCACAGAAAGTTTGTAGCTTTGAGGTCCAGATTATGGGTGTCTAAATTAACGACTTTTGACTGTATTATCTATGTATTCATAATCTTAAATTTACATATGTATATTCTTACATATGCTATATTTGAAATATAGTATTCAATATACTCAAAAGAGTACCTTTACTTAGTTTTAACTTTACATGGAAAATGCATAAACGCATACATTAGTTGTTATTATTTTAACTTTACTTCTTGCTTTTTCTACTATTTTCAGTCTTTTGGATTAAAGTAACATAGTTGGATTTTAACACACAAACATAAAATTCTTAAAAGTATAAATATATCAACTAAAAAATTCTGAGCTGTACTTAAACATCCTTGCTTGAGGTAAAACAAAAATATATTAGCAGCTTTGTGCACATGTTTTAACAGATTTAAAATAAAACTTCCGTTTGAAC